TGGAAATGCAATTACTTTAGTAAATATAAAGTGCTAAATACCTTTTCTCATCAGCAGTTAGAGCAGTCTTGTGACTTCTATTAGTGTCCAGCAGAGCACTGGTTAAAGCTTGTAGGAGGAGTTTTCATTCATCCCTGATTGTTCTATGAGGCTGCACAACCCCTGACCCCCTGTCTGGACAGTGCTTATTGGCTCTGTGTTGATCACATGCACTCTCCCAAGAAAAAAAAAAAATCTCTCTAGCAATACACACCAAACCGAGCTTGTGCAGCTTGCCCCCAATGCTCTGTTCTATCAGAAAATAGATTGGGGACAGTAGAAGAAGAGGATCAAACATCCTTTTTACACAATGTGGAGAATTAACCCCTTAGGGTCCACAGTGAGTAAAATGAGCAGGATTTACTGCATATACAGACTGATTTTACTGTTGTGGGTTTAGTAACACTTTAAGGCCACCCTGCTCCTTTACAACCAGTTATTATTGAAGGAATTTGATTTGTTTCATTTGGATGCTTCTAACATCCAAATTAAACAAATTACTTCTGTTAATGTTTATCTCGAATTTGTGGAAATTCGTTACCATTGTAATTGGAAATTCAGATATATCTGAATTTAGAAATAACAATTTTGTCCAAATTTTAATTCAGAACAAAACTAACCATGCATGTCTAAAGAAATCATAGGTCTGACTTTACAGGATTAATCCAAGCCAAAATAAAACCTTAGTATAACAATAGTAATTGCACTTGGGTTAAAACATCATCAAAAATCTAAACAAGCAGCTAGCACAATATTGCAGGGTACAATACAACATAGACATATAAAAGACAGTAGTAGCTGATGACCCCCTAAAACCTAAGCATGATTATATGAACAAGCAGATAAATTAAAAAGTCCCTCCAGATGAACAGATGGTGTTAATAAGCTGAAATATTGTAAAAGGTCCACCCAAAAAGTCTTGATAAGTTGGTCAGTAGATGATGGTGCTCAAAAGGATGACAGAGATAGAACACCCTTCACCAAACCAATTACACTGCTTACCACCATAGCACATTGACCGTCATCAGGGGCATGGCCAGTCTAAAATCCCTGTGTGATTTCAGACTGGTCACACAAGCCACGCCCCTGACGATGTCATAGATTCGAAATGCGCTGGCTGGAATTATGGCATGTGATTATTTATTTCAGGTACTTATATAGTGCCGTCAATTTATGCAGCGCTTTACATATATATTGTACATTCACATCAGTTCCCAACCCTCAAGGGGTGTACAATCTAAGGTCCCTAACTCACAATCATATATATACATACTAGGGCCAATTTAGACAGGATCCAATTAACCTACCAGCATGTCTTTGGAGTGTGGGAGGAAACCTGAGTACCCGGAGGAAACCCACGCAGGCACAGGGAGAACATGCAAACTCCAGGCAGGAGGTGCCATGGCTGGGATTTGAACCAACGACCCTAGTACTGCCAGGTGGATGTGCTAACCATTTAGCCACTGTGCTGCCCCCATGTGAAGTCATCGTGCACCTGGATACAGCAGCCATCTTGTTGGCTGGAAACACCACATAGGAATTTGTGATATGCCGGTTTTATCATTTTTATTTAAGTGCATTACTTTGAATAAATGTACACATTCATTGCTACTACACTATAAGATGGCTTATTTCTCTCATTTGGCATTTTTTGAGAGTAATTCTATCCATCTGTTTGGAGCGATCTTTAAATCAAAGAAAGTGTTATTTGTGGGAGAAGCTGGTGGAAAGCGCATCCTTGAAGTTCCTTTTGGCTTTTTACAGTGCTGTTTGGCTGTTCCTTTTCAGGGTGGTCAATGTGCTATGGTAACAGGCAGTGTAATCAATTTGGTGAAAGGCTTTCTTCCTCTGTGTCATCCTTGAGCACAATCATCTACTGACCAAGTTATCAAGACATTTTTATGGACTTTTAACATACTTTCAGCTGATTTACACCATCTGTTTGTCTGGAGTGACTTTTTAATTTGCCTGCTTGTTATTCATATAATGATGCTTAAAATGTTTTAGAGGATCATCTGCTACTATCAGCACTACACTGTTTTTTATGTCAAAATAAGACATATAATCTGGCAGTTTAGATCATACTTGAGTGTAAAGTGGAAGTGCTAGTTGCTACTTGCAGAGATTATTCTACCATCTGAATTAACATTAATGTGAAAAATATGTGAAGTTCACAGGCAGAGGTTCTTAAATTGCATCCTGCATGGTACTGGGTAATTTATTCTACTTGCTTTTTGATGGTGATGTCAAGCAGATTTGTGGAATGCACCTGACCAGTGTAGTAGACTAGTAACCACATTCTGCTACAAACAAAAAACAAAATGGCGCTGGGAGAGGACCACACATGAAGAGTCTAGATACGTTTGTGACAAATGACAGATACAACAGGAGAAATACAAATAGGGGAATCGCGTACAATAGTAATGAGTTCAAAATGGGGTGGCGATGAAGTGACAAATGGAGACGGGTAAGTCCATAGTAAAATGGTCCTAGGTGGTGGATGGATGATGAAGGCAGCTCCCTATAGAGCGAAGCAGAAATCGCAGTATATAATAAAAAAGAGAGACCTATTGAAATGTATATCCTAGCTGATCAGAAGTCAATAAATGGACAGGTAGCAGAATGTGTTTAAATCAGACACAAGGGGGCGCCAATCTCAGTGTAAAGGGTTAAAGATTTATTGGTAACAAGAGGTTTAAAAACTACTCACAAACAAGGGAAGTATAATAGCATGGTAAAGGAATGCCATTGGTAAGCCCCCAGTTTGCCAGTGATGTCAAGATGGATCCTGGTTGTGCAGGATGAGCAGAGATGCAGCCGTCAGTGTTCAGCAATGCAGAGAATTTTTGAAAATGGTGCCGAAACCAGCATAGACAGCAAGGAAGTCAGGACCTCGGCAGGAACAGGGTCAGGTGACGCATTTCGAAGCACTTGCTTCTTCTTCACTTACTTCTCCAGGAACTGCCTGCCACCTCCAAAGCGGTCATTCTGAATTATGCTACAGGCAACATAACATTCCTCACAGCTTCTCCAGACCCTTTCACGTCTGTCACATGTGCTCAGGGTGAACCTGCTCTCATCTGAGAAAAGCACAAGGTGCCGTGGCAAACCTGCCAATTCTGGTGTTCAATGGCAAATGCCAATCTAGCTCTATGGTGCCGGGCAGCCGAGACATTAACATCAGTGGGCTGCTGGAGGTCATTTTGTAGGGCTCTGGCAGTGCTCATCCTGTTCCTCCTTGCACAAAGGAGCAGATACCAATCCTGCTGATGGGTTAAGGACCTTCTACAGCCCTGTCCTGCTCTCCTAGAGTAACTGCCGGGCTCATTGAGACTGTGCTGGGAGACACAGCAAACCTTCTGGCAATGACATATAGATGTGCCATCCTGGAGGAGTTGGATTGCCTGCGCAACCTCTGTAGGGTCCAGTTATCGGAGTTGACAGTGACCCTAGCCAAATGCAAAACTAGTGAAACACTCCTAGAGTAACTGCCGAGCTCCTGTGCTGGGAGACACAGCAAACCTTCTGGCAATGACATATAGATGTGCCATCCTGGAGGAGTTGGATTGCCTGCGCAACTCTGTAGGGTCCAGTTATCGCCTCATGCTACCCTCAGTGACAGTGACCCTAGCCAAATGCAAAACTAGTGAAACAGTCAGAAAGGATGAGTAGGGAAAAAAAAATGTCAGTGGCCTCTACATAGGCAGAGCTGTGTCCTGTCTTTCTCCTTGCCGATCGGCAGGGGCGGACTGACAACTCATGGGGCCCCCAGGCAAAAGGGGATCATGGAGCCCCTGTGTCCTTGCCCAAATTCCAAAAAACCTATGCAAAAGGTAACAAGGGGCATCTCATCGGGTCCCCTACTGACCCCGGGCCCTTGGGCAGTTCCCAAGTTTCCAAATGGTCAGTCCGCCCCTGGCCGGTGGTCATCCACAGGCTGACACACGCCGATTGGCTTCTAATGACTAATCACAGCAGAAGCGGTGTGCCAGGGGCACGTGCACCCCCTCAGCTGCTCTGTAGCAGTACATCTGCTATAGGGAGGTCATAAACCCGATAATGTACAGAATGTACAGATAGATCCAAAAGTACACGATCGAGTAATTAAAGCGATTGTAAAGTCTTTTTTTTAAATAACAAATAGGTATAAACCTATCTTCTCTGTGTAATAGAATTGTACTGAGCAGCCCTGAACCTCCTATTCTCAGGTCCCCTGTCAGCATTCCTGGCTCCTCCTCCCTTCCAAGTGCCCCCATAGCACGTAGCTTGCTATGGGGGCACTCATGCAGGCTCAATCCAGAGTTTCACTGCCCGCGTCCAAAGACACAAACAGCACAGCTCGGCCCCACCACCTGTTCCCTCATCATGGGATATGACTGACAGGCGCACGAGCCAATTGCTCCCACTGCCTTAGCAAAGCCTGTGAGAACCACTACAGACAGGCATTGCGCTGTATCAGCTGAGGGCTCTGAGGTAAGTATACAGGGGATAAGGGGACTATACTGCTACCTAAAAATGTTTTACCTTAATGCAAGGAATGTATTAAGGTTCAAAAAGTTTAGACTTTACAACCACTTTAATGTAAACAGTATATTGGTATGCGTTCTGCTGTAAAGGCTTACATTTACCATATTATGTTGCAAGTCTTTCCAAGAAAATATAATTCCATTTTAAAAAGATACTGGTCTGGCAGTCAGCATCTTTATATTCTTCTCAGGAATTTTGGTGGAGAGCTAAGGTTCCAGTACCATTTAAATATTGTTTCCAATAGAAGGGGTACAGAGATTTCTTTAGTTTGTAATGTACAATATATGGCCAGCGTAACTGTATTAAATAACTGGGATATTATATACAGTTTATGGTAATATATACTGTATCTCAAAAACAGAACTTAAAATTTGTGTATAAGCATTATAAGAAAAAATTATTTATATAAAAATACTAAATTTGTGAACAATTACCCAGTTCTTCTTCCATTGTAGCTCCTGCATTATGGCTGGAAACTCCAAGAACTCTGTTGAAGAGTATTGAGAATGCACTACCCCAAACACCTGAAAGAAAGCCAAGTTTTTTTACAAACATAATTGTGTGATTCATCTGTTTTATGCATATAATTTAACAGAAATATATAGTGGTTTGTGTATATTTTCTTAATTTATCATAGTTATGACCCAAACTTGTATTAAATGTGCTTTATTTTTTTTAAAAGTCGGTAAATACGAAATACTGAAAGTTAAAATTTGTATTCTTATTTATAGTCAGCATGCCGATCAAAAAGTTTGCAGCAGGGCTAAGCCTAGGCGACTCTATCCATTCACATGTGGACCAAGGGATCTATCAGTAGGATTGTTTTAACATGTAATGAGCATGAGGCAAGCTTTTCATTGTAAGTGCAACTGTACAAGTCTTGTTATTTAATAAAGGTTAATACGCTAGAGCAGTGCAGTCTGTCTTTCTATATGTTTTTGTGGTTACTGGCTTTGCCGCTGGTTCATGAGAGCTGCATGCCCCTGAAAAGGGCGATTCACAGCGATTTCTACGAATCATGAACTCTCGCCCTCCCTGACACCTTCACATGAGGATGCTTAGTGCAACAACTTGTATAAATCTACGATGTACAGTGGAGAAAAACATCTGATAAAAAAAAAAAAACTATGTAAACACTACCCACCACCGTCATGTAGTGCAGTGTAGAGGGGTACAATGCTGAAAGCTTTTTTTTTTTTTTCATCTACTACCCAAGAAGGGGGGGGTGCATAAAAAATCTTATAAATAAAAAGGGTACAGATGTTCTTTAAAATTATTTTAACGTATGTTAAAATTGCATTTGAAGGCGTATTTTATCCAAGCAAACAAGCTTTTGTTGTTACCTTAGTATAACTGCTTTTACTCACCCATTAGAAAATGTAGTGGATATTCTTCATATTTTTTAATAACTGATCCCATATAAAACTTGCTTCCAAAAAGCTCAGGAGGCATAAATGTGCCATACTTTGCCATTCCGATTTCATAGGGGCTAAATTCCACCCAGTCTGCAAGTAAAATTGTATTGAATCAATTCAAAGTCAGTATTGATTTTAAATATAAATCAAATCTCAATCACACATAGAATTACATATAATTTAATATAGATGCAAAAATAGATTTAAATTTAAATAGCTATATTAAAACAAACCTAGGTAGTGAAAGGAAGTGTTTGCCCTGTGCCATTCTCACTCCATGGGATTTTTCAAAATGGCAATGGGACTTGATCCGACTGTGACTTGACCTGGTCAATGGTGTCTGACCTGCTAAGTTGCCAAGGACATGATATGCAATATATTGTATTCTATACTACATGTTGTATGCAGCTTGCCCTGGACTGCCGAAGACCGTACAATGTGCTATATATTACATATTCCTGACACTTTCTGTACACTGTGATACATGTTACATAAGCTGGACCACTGCACATTGTGTTACAGTTTACATACTGAAGACTTCTGCAAAAATGTACGCTCTTTGTATGGTACACACAGTGCATGAATAAATTTTGGATTTTTTCCTTTCTGGTACCTAGTCTGGATAACTTAATTCTTTATATGCTGAGCGATATACAGCATACTGTATACTGCGCACTCTTGATTCCTGAAATCTGTACCCTCTTCTGTATACTACATACCACAAACACCTGCACTGTGTATGTTGTGCTATACGTTATGTGCCACTGACTGCTAAATTCTGCATACTTCATTGTACATTCATACCACTAGGAGCCAATTTATGAATTCAGAATGTCATCCTGTGTAACGATTAAAGATTAAGTAAAGATTTTTTTTTTTTTTTTTTAAAAAAAAAAAAAAAAAAAAAAAAAAAGAAACAATGTCAAAAAAGGTAATATTGTGTGGTTATATACTAAATGTATACAAATATGGCACCAAACTACACTGTATAACTCATTTAGTAGTCAAATGATTTAAAAACATTTCAGCAGGCAGCACAAGAGCATGTAAATAAAATAGTTTCCATTGTTTGTTTATTTTATGCCATGTGGTGAATACCAAGCATTTTGAAGTTTTCTCACTAGATATTAAACTGCATTACAAGTTTTTAAATCATTATTATCTCAATAAATACTCTAATGCTCTTTATAAGTGGTAGAAGAGCTTTTGATCTGTAACCACAATGAAGGTTTCAGCTGGCCATAGATGGATCGAAATTCAGCCGGTTTAGCAGCCTCTGGTCACATTTCCATTCATCTATAGCCATTCCCATTTGTGAGAAGCTGTGAAGAAGTAGAGATCGACTTCTCACAAACAGGCATGTTAAAATTTGTGTTCATTCAGCACTGCAGCCAATTGGCTGCAGGGCTTATCAGTGTATTTTGACAGTGGAGGAGTCCCCACTGTCAGAATAAAATAATGCAGCAGAGAGCATTCCCCTATTAACCTTGCTTGTGTGGATGTGAGAATCTGTTAAGTTTTTTTCTATCAGCATGCTAGTTGATCCATCTATGGCCAGCCTTACTCACAGAGGCTGTAATTTCTAAAGGTCCAGACAATAGATAAATACTTCCCGAGCACTATTTGTAAGAGCCTTTAGTAAAGGCTGAGGACAGGGTATGCAAGTCCTTTTAAATTCACTTGGCTATGTACAACTGCTAAACCAGACAGTAGTTAGGTTATCAGTCTCTACTTGGAAACTTTAATGCTTGCAGTGCAGGAGAGACATAGCTTCTATTAGATTATTAAAACAACTGACAAGGCAGAACATGGCATTATCCTGTGTTCTAGGTATTACATCTGTCAGGGGTTAATAAATACTACCACAGTTTGTCATACAATGTTGTTAATATCCTTTATAATAATGCCATTTCTCATTAGCAGGATAGATTGTAATGGCTTCCTATCTTGTTAAGCTCAGGACAAAGGTAATTAATCCCTGTTCAGTTTCACAAATATAGATCTTATCTTATGCATATCTTATCCACATGTAGTTTAAAAAGATGATAAAGGTTCAATTAACACAAAAAAAAGGCATGTTATACTTACCTGCTCTGTGCAATTGTTTTGCAGAGCAGTCCTGATCCTTGTGTTCTCAGGTCCCTGCCAGCGCTCATGGCTCCTCCCCTCTTTCAAGCAAGCAGCTTGCTTTGGGGAGGGGTACTCATGCAGAGGTGTTCCCAAGCCCTGCTGGCTGCATCCATAGGGCTTTGCCCTACTTCCTCCTCACTGGCTGTGACTGACAGCAGTGGGAACCAATGGCTCCTGCTGTTGTCTCTCAGCCAATGAGAAGGCAGAGCCAGTACAGCAGCCACTCTTGGACACATGGCTGGATCAGGATAATATATAAAAAGGGCTGGAGGCAGAGCTGCATACTAAAGGTTTCTTACTTTGCATAGAATCCATAAGAGTAAAAACCCTATAGCCTTTATGACCACTTTAAAGGTTAGGTTCACCTTTTCCAAAAAAAAAAAAAAAAAAAAACAACAACTATGCAGTCAAGGAGCCTCAAAATATATTAAAAACTGTGAAGCTTTGCAAAAGGTTTATGAATTTTATGGTCATACCTTTATGCCATTTGGGCCCCCCAGAAGCCTGGACAAAAAAACTCAAATTAGCAATCTGCATATCATTCTACAACTCGAAGACCATTTAAATGCTCACTCCTATCACTGGAGCAGTGAAACAGTTTTTGTATCCTAGAAGCAAGGACGGACATGGTTTTTCATCCAGGCTTTCAGAAGAAATGGCCTACAGATATGGCACTAAAACTAAAGAAAATTTACAAGGCTGAACATTTTTTTTATGTCTACTTGGGACCCTTTACTGCAAAAGGTGTACTTTAACTCTTTTACTGCCAGGCCTTACCTCCTATTTTATTTTACCACCAGTGGCCAGACCATTATTGTTATCTTTTGCTTTATTTTCCAATATTTTTCCAGTTACGACTAAAAAAAAGAAAACAAATATTTTCTAACAATTTATAAAAGTACAGGGCCTGTAGAAATAAGATACTGTGACTGATTTTTTTTTTTTTTTTTTTTTAGGTCTCACGGTAGTTTTGCAAATATTTAGCTAAACTATATTAACAAAAAAAATAAATCATTAATGCACACAAATACAAATCACTTCCAATTTTACTGAATCTAAAATAATGAAACTGTAATAAAGCGAAACTTCACTCTCTCAATCAACATGAATTAGCTGCTAGCATTAGTAACTAGATAAGAAAGTATATCATATTTACTTGTTTTGACCTTTTTTTGCATTCCTTTATTTACATCCTGGTTTCCATGCCTAGGCATATCGTACATCCCTGAAGTCTTCAGGATGGGAGGGAGCTAAGGACAGATAGATTCCAGGAAGTACCTGCTACATGAATCATCTGGCCTTATTTCAGAATGCCACTGCCAAAAATGCCAGGAGGTGTTTTTCAAAGCGATTTCTCAGCAAAATAAAGCATGGATAATAGACATGGATGGAGGAGTTTGTTTTGAATATTAAAAATGAATTATATAGCATATTTGGTTTGTAGTACTCAGATGCAGTGCAGTTTCACATTAATGTTAAACAGTTTCTAAAAACTTTCGTTTTTACCTTTTTATAAAAGGTGAAATCAAAGGAAAATTTGTAAAATTAAATTGTATGTTCAAACCCCCCCACAAAAACACACACACACACACACACACACACACACACACCCACACCCCCCTTTCCTTTACTTGCACGTAATCTGCTATCCAGCAACATATATGTGGTGGCAGAGCAGATTTTATGCCATATCACCACTCATATGCGTACAGCGGGCATCACGGTTTTGTGCTGGGTGCATGCTCAATCATGCTCCCTTAGCACCACGACTGGGTTGTTATTGACAGCTCCTGGCCACGATGTAAATTGGAGCTTGCAGAATGGTCTACCGATCATGTGACCCCCTGTGATGGACAGTCACGGTGATTGCATGATTGGGAAGCTCAGGAAATGTCTGCAGATTAAGACCTTTAAAAAGCCTAACTGCCATGGAGCTGGCTTTACACTTATGCATTGTGGTAATTCACAATCTGCAGTGTGGTGAGTTGTATAGCCATTTTCATTGGCACTACAAACACAATAAGGCAATGCACTACCAAGCATTACTTTAGAAACAAAGGGTTATATGTGTTTTTAGGCATGCAAGGCTGAGTTGGCAGCCCATTCATTTTGAATGGGCTGCTATAATGCAACACACATTAATACGAGAGGATAGGGGAAAATGTAAACATGAAAAAAGAGAAAGAGGAAAGCACCTGCTATACAGAGCCATACAAAACAGCGTGCAGGACCTGATGGGGAGAGATCTGTATTGTTTACATACAGGTCTCTCCCCCGTCATCGATACTCGGCGATCGTCGGGTGTTGGCAGGGAATCACCGGCCAGAACCCGGTGATCAACAGCTAAGGCCAATGACGGCGTGGGTAGGACGTGCATGCGTAGGGTGGACTTAAAGCGGTTAAATCAACAATGGTTGCACTCACATATTCCATATATCTAGAAGAGCCTTTAATACAGCCCCAACTTGTTGATGTCAGAGAACCGCTCATATGGCCAGTGATGTCCAGTAATTGCTCAGTATGAAGATTAAACCTCTCACTGCAGGGTGACAGGCTGAAGGAAGGCAAACAACTCAGCTCACCTCTGGGCTCAGTTGTAAACCAATGTCCACTGTTCCTAGGCTTACACAGGTCAGTGCGGCTATGCATTTTGAAGGCATCTCCCCCTTTCTCAAGCCTGTCAGCACATTTCAGTGCAAATCCTTATATACCAGAGATACTGAAAAAAATAGAACAAACAACCAACCAGAGTGAAACTACTGGGGCTTTTTAGGCGCCACACCAACAATTCTACAAACAAATATTATAAAAAGTCAAAACTTTATTATACATTGTTAAAAACTATGATTGTAGTACATAAAACATGTAATCATTGCATATTGTGACTATACAAAACATCAGGCTTGTAAATTGCTCCAAAATTCTATATATAATACATATAAACAACAAAATGTATACAT